GAACTTAAAAACTACAGTTCAATCAGGAGAGACAATTGAATAAAGACAATTATTTATTACAATGAAATATGAAAATGTTCCCTGACAAAAGAGCTCTCTCTGTTTTATGGAGCCTGGCAGATTTCCTCTGCTGCTCTTACCGTGTGGGTTTCGTTTGTTTTCTTTATTTATTATAGATAGAGAGACTAAAAGCTGGAGCTAAAAAAAAGTGTTGTGTTTTATAACTACAACCTGGGTGGAGTGGTGTAATGTGGGACACTGACTAGATGTTTTATTTTTTATTTCTTTATTTAAAAAAGGACAACGCACATTAATTAACAAGAGCAACAAAGTCACACATGTAAATGTGCCAGATTTAGCCATGCAGGCTATTTTTCATCTGCAGTCCCTGGCAGGTTGATGACATTTAAGAAAACATTAAAAAGCATATAGGAAAATGCAGCACAAAAACATAGACACAAGAACACATAAGCATAACAAATTAAACAACACATACGCATGGAAGCAATTGATAAAGCAGCACATAGACATAAAATAAAAATGTGTAACATATATTTAAATACATGAGCATTTAAACACAGACAAAAGCACCATGCACAGACAAGGAGCATATATAAACACAGACTACAAGTAAAGACACAGTACATTAATCCAGATTATGGCAGCATGTCTGATTTTTGAATAGCCATTGTTTTATAGATTTAGGAAAGGATTTCAGAGATGTTATGTTCCTTAGTTCTGTGGGTATAGTATTCCAAGTATGTGCTGCTCGATAAGAAAAGACTGACTGCCCAAAACTACTTTTTTTTACATGGAATTTTACAATCCCCTCTTGCAGATGCTCTGGTAGATGTGTTTAGATTTTGTTTAATGAATTCATTGAGTGGAGGGGGAGCCATACGATGAAAATTTTTATATACAAGTAAAATGTCGGCTAATTTAATCATGTTTTCCCAGTTTAATAAATTATATTTAGTTAGGATTTTACAATGATGATATGAGTTTGACTTTTTATCCAACGTTTTTAAGGTCTGTTTATAAAGTGTCTCAACTGATCTTAATGTGGTCCGTCCTGTTTGTGTCCAACTGGTGATACAGTAATGCATATGTGATAAAATCATGGCATTCATGTACAACCTTGAGGCCTCCGTAGTTAAATTATTCCTTATGTGTCTGAAATTCGGATATTTAAATGTCCCCCTAATAATCCGCTTGGTTTGGCCTGAGGATCCCACAGCATGCGAGCGTGGTTTACAGTTCGGAAAAGTTTAACACCGCGGTGTTTCACTATTGCAGGATTTATTTTGCGCTTTGTCCTGTTTATTGAGCCACAGTTATTTTGTTGCACATGATTTTCTGTGCACTGTGTCATAGCGCACGGTAAAATCTATTCTGACGTTGCTAAGAATTGTCATTCTACCCATCGCCCACCCCATAGAGTCCAAGCGCCAAAATTATTTCTGTCAAGGAACATTTCCGTATTTCATTGTAATAAATACTTCTATTTAATCAATTGTCTCTCCTGATTGAACTCAAGATAGGCTACTTTACAAAAAGCGGGATTACTGTTACACTTATTCTTGCCCTTTCTTTTTTCGTTTGCTTTCTTACGACACTGCTCCTCCCCTCTTCTGCCTCAGGACCAGTTTTATGGGGTGCCGATTGTAAAAACGTTGTCATGTATATTTTTTCAATATTTAGTTAATATTCTTCACATTTTAGCGTTTTACACATAAATACTTGCAAAGTTTAACTGTTGAAGAAATATTTCATAATATATCTAAATGTAAAATATAAATGTTATATATATATCTAAATGTGTTTTAGAAAATATGCAAATCACATAATTCCACATTTAGATTTAAATTTAAGATTTAGATTTACATTTAGATATATTATTAAATATTTCTTCAACACTTAAACTGTGCCATTATTTATGTGTAAAACGAGCTAAATGTGAAGAATATTAGTTTAGTGTAATCCTGTTCGAGGTGCCAAGCAAAGCCCTAGACAGGCTCCAGCATGTCCTGAACTCAGTTTGGCCCTACCACCTGCTATCATCCTGCCATTGGAGACGACTGCTGACTCATCCACCAGACAGTCAGAAAGATGAAATCTTCCTCCACGCCCCCAACTCTGGACTTTAAACCTCCACTACCCATCATGAATATCTCTCTCTCTCTCTCTCTCTCTCTCTCTCTCTCTCTCTCTCTGCCTCCCTCCCCACCTAGCCACCTCAACAGGAAAACCAAATTAACCACACTTAACATTGATGTCAGTTTGACATTTGCTTCTGTCACTTACGGCCAAAGGACTTTAAATAATACACTGGAGTACCATCTTTTCAATAGTTAGTGCCTAATATAGTTTCAAGTCCATGCATATAACACCCTTTGCACATAATCTTAATATTTTTGTATATCTGTATTTAGCCTATGTTTTTATTTGCTATCTTCTATTGTTTTATACTATGAAGTTTGCACCGTGGTTCAGAGAGAAACAATTTTTCTGTATGTCCAGTATGTATGGCAAAATTGACAATAAAGTTGACTTTGACTTTGAAAAACTTAAAAGAAAAAAAAAACAATTCTTGCTTCGTTCACACATCAGCTCACCCCGGCTTCAGGTGGACATTTTACAAGGGGCTGGGCAGAGAAATTCTGGGTAAAGTCAGGGAGAAAAAAATCTGCAGTTTGGATTCACACATGCAGCGCACCTGAAAATGTTTGTGGGAAAACCCTTTTAAACGCCTTTAAAGTGGCACAGAGTACCAATTGTAATTGTAAAGATAAAGCTGATCCTCTAACATAGATAATGTAAAACCTGCTCTTATCTGATCTGCTTCAGATGTGGGCAGTCAATGGCAGCAAATAAATGAGGGGCGTTGGGCTTGATGCCTGCATTCACCTCAACTCCACAAATGACTTATCTCTTGATTTTTGAAAAACATTTATTATTAACAGTTATACTTCTTTAAAATAAAATCTTTGTTATATTCTGAAGGGATTACACTAAAGCTCGAAGGAGGAAGTAGGACGAGAAACCCAGCTTCAAAATGCTCGGTCGAAAACGAATAATGGAGATCATTCATTGAGTCCTGCAGATTTTCTGAGCCCTTCATCAATGCCGTCTCTAAAGTATGCCCTCCCTGGCACTCAGCAAATTGTCTGTTTGGCTTTAAATACTATTCTACAATTCTACAATTCACTGAGCAACTTTTGAATTTTTGAATTTTCCTCGGGATCAATAAACTATCTATCTATCTATCTTAGCAGACGCTTTTATCCAAAGCGATGAACTCTTAGCTCTCTTGTTGTTTCTCGCTGCCTCAGTGACTAGTTGTGTGGCATTATTAATGTTTTATCTGCTTTTCTATCCATAAATAATTAATTAAAAGTCGTGTCGAATGCGCCCTTTCATGCGTGTCTCTGTATTTCTAATCCCAGATCGCTGATGTGTTAAAGCGAGAGTAAAGGTTATTTTGTTGTTTTTTTTCTCTTAATGTTCCTCGTCAGAGCGCTGAAGATGAGAGACTACAGGCTGCCAAAGCGCACGGCTTTGCCTTGGGCCCATTAAGGAAAGAGATGAGGCATTGCAAATGTATTCTGGGGGCTGGCTGTAGATTATCTACTTACCCAATCAGAATTCATTTTCCTTACAGGCCCACTGTCTCTGCTTTTTCCAAGCCTTTGATTGGGTGGGCCAAGAGCAGCTTGAGAGACTGCCTCTGTCTCGGTTTATGATGATGTCATGTGGTCAAGTCACCGTTTAGTTCGTTTTAATGTTCTTTATTTTTGTGTCATTTTTTGTTCATTTTTGGATTAAAACAATTGCTAATTAATGATCTCACAGATATCCTAACCCTAACCCTACATGAGGCTTTACAAGGCTATAGGCCTTTACTTGACTCACCACTTTAGATGTTCAAACTGAGCTCTGGTCTCGGTCGTCTGCTCACTTGACCATCACGGCTGCTTTTTACAAGGTGCGTATTGTTGAATCTTCAGGTCATTAACATAACTCCTCCGATACATGAAGGAGTCGCATCTACGAGAAAGTATTTCATTTACTTTTTTCTCGAGAAGTTTTGAGTATTTGTACCTACTAAATTCTTAATATAGCCCAATACGACTTTAATATCGACGCCCCTCAAACTAATGAGGGTTTTTTTTTTTTTGGAATTTGGTTATTAGGTTAGGTTATTTCTTCAAATCACCAGCTTCGTCGAAAGCAGTTTGAGGAAAAGTTAAGTTTTAGTCAACATCATAGGCTAATAACTCAACAGAGGTAAATGGCTATAGTTTAACTGGAGTAAGTTTTAAACTACTTAGCTTACTAAAATTTGGTTTTATTATTTAAAGATGTAAAAATTGGATTTCTTTCACCCTGACTTTCCACTGACCACTTTATCTCTATAGCTCCATGACATGTGTCAGCAGGAAAGGATCCAAGTGGAGTGAACATGATAGAAACGTTAGTGCTGGTGTGAGTGCGCCATGGAGAAAAGTGACAACTGCAGGCTATTGAGTCACTTTCAAAAAACAGCATGTTTAATAGATGACATGTCAGAATAGAACATGTTATGAACCGTGGGACAAAAGCAAATCAGCTGGTTTTACTGCTCATCTTTCGCCAGACCAATCCCTTTCGTTTTCTTTTATTCTCTCATTCTCACACTAAAGGGAGAGTAGCCTGAAGGATATCTAACGTTAATGCTGCTGAAGTTTGTTGTTTACTTAATGACAAACAGGTAGGCTACACTTTTCTAAACTAAAGGTATGTGGGACTAAATTATTAACCTAATTGAATGTGTTACTGTGAACGATTTTTGTTGGTACACATTTTGGGCGGTGCATGCATCGAGCACGTTTGACAAACAAGGTTTATGGGTGTCTTCTTTAGGTGGTACCACGCTGGAGGAGGGGCTAATTGAAATTGTAGGATAATTATCTCTATATATTTAGTTGCGCATCTCAAACTCCGCAGTTGTAACGCTCTGATGCTTCAAGCAGGCTCAAACATGTTCTCTCTGTCAGTGGATTTCGGTTTGGGTAGGATATGGATTCTTCTTCGCACAAGTTTGTTTTAATTTCTGAAACTGACAGATCTTGAATAAATTTTGTCCTGTTATTTGGTTCCACAGTGTGGCTGACCTTTGGTTTAATTGTGTGCGGTAAGTGTGGAGCTCATTCATTTGGCTGTTTGTCTCCGCTTATGGTGTAGGGTCATGTGATGATTTCTGCAGCTGATGTTACAGAGTGTACCTGGAGGTACTTTTTTATTACTGTACTCACCCTTGGTGTGATGCTATCGTAGCTTTGGGAGCCTCAGTCTGTGTGAGTATGTGTGTGTGTGTGTGTGTGTGTATAGCCTATAGGCTATGTCATCATATTAAAAGAATAGTGTAAGACTCTGAGAGATGGGTTTTGGAACTTAAATGAAAAAATGTTATTTCCTTCTTGCATTCCCCCTATGTGATGGTATGCAAGATATCTTTCATTTTCTCCACCACCTAAAATGATGGCGCTTGAGCTTGCGTCTGCGTAATGCTGTGACCTGCTGTCATGATGACAGTTAAAGGTAAAAGGACGAGTAACGCAGCGTTGTTTAAGGGCGTGGATTCGATTGTCTACACCTGTCATGAAACTAGGAAATACCCTTTAAATCGTAGCAGCAGAACTTATGTTTAGAGAGTTGGCACTAGCCTATCTGCCATAAATAGCCCACTTGGATTGCCACTTTGCAATACAAGTGGCTTATTCACTTGTAAGAAAGCAAGTCCGGTTGCCTTTGCACTTTCACCTAATTTAAATGTGGTTTTCATAATGCTTGAACATATTTAGCCACTTCTCCTTATTTTCCTACCCATCTCTTACAACTTTAAACTTGTGTTTTTGTTGACAGAGTCAGCCAAGGGTTCATGTGCCTTTAAAAGCAACTGTTACAGGTAGGCATTCCCCTTCTTTGTGGGTGTGTGAGGAAAAGTGTTTGGGGCCATTGTGCAACAGTACAAAAGTGTTTGTGGTGACAGATAGCGAAGCATATAGGAAGCACTGATGGGCTATTTGCCGATAAAGCCCGATATATATCATATCTGACCATAGCACTTAACATGAAGATGTACACCTGTGCAACTATTTAAACTGTTTTACCTAAATTCCATAAGAGGGCAGCATTGTAAAGGATATGGTAAAATGTGCATTGACATGACAGGGAACCAAAACAATTGTGTAAGAAAAAATAATTTTCTTTATATTTAAAGTGGTGTCTATTGATTGTAAGAGAATATCTCTTGGTTTATTTTTTCCTTGATTGCAGAAAAACCTGTAAGGGAATAGAGTATGACACCCGTGAGGCTGTGTGCTGTGAGAATAACCTCCATCCAGGAGCAGGACTTTCATGTTGTGGAAATCAGTCCTTCAACTCAGCAGAGGCCACCTGTTGTAAAGCTGAACTCAGACAAGAAGTAAAAGGTAACTGCAGCACATTTGTGTTACAACCAGTTGAGGATGCTAGACACAGAAAAAAATGAGGAGGCAGCTTTCTAATCACGGAGCATGTACATTTAAGTAGTTACAATATTGTTACACTGTTAGGATAGCTTAAACCCTTATGACTCGTGACTAACAAAACAAACAAAGCCAATACAATTGATATACACTATGTTTCAAAAGTCATAAAAACTCCTATGAATAACTTAACTCAAGTGTTTTAGCGACCCCCATTGCTAGCATGTGACGCAACTTACCAAAGAACATGCTGAGAAGTTCAAATAGGTTGTTTGAGCTGAGAGATGGTTGAAAAATGGTAACAGCATGGTTCTGTCACAGGATATCAGGAAGAAAAACTCCCTCCTTGCTAAGTCGTACCCTCGTCAATTATAAATACAAGAGGTTGAGTGTTGATCTGCTGTTGCATCACTTATTCATTGCGCAAAGTTGTATCTGAGATCCACATCTGTTGACATTTGACAATCTTAGCCAATTGGGTGATTCCACAGTTTTGGCATTGTTTTGGGGAAGCCAGCTGCACATATTTAGCACATATAACAATTATATTGGCAAGCCAGTCGTCTCCAGAACATCACATGTGCTCTATTAGCTGGAAGACCACAAGTTCCAACCAACAGTACACAACCGATACCCTACCCAGGAGAGTGCAAGCTATATATAGGGATCTAACTCAATCATAGTGGCTATGAAGGCGATGTCCAACAATAACTGTAAAGAATTCAGCAGTTAAAGATATGAAACTTGAATCAGACTTGTGTTTGAGATCATCGTCACAGGTATTCTCGTCTTATTTATGATCCATGGTTTTACTGATTTTGGGGTTTAGTCATTTTCCCATTGAAATAAAAATCTGTAAATAACACTCTGATGAAAAACATTTCACATAATCAACAAGTGACTGTTAAGAACATACTGGCTAACAGAAAAGAAAACACCAACTCTCTTTTGTATTATAGCCTGTCATTTTATAGCTCATCTGCCTTAAAATATGTCATTTTTATGACGGGTGAGGTACAAATAAGGCCGTCTAAACTGTTTGTCTTTTCATTCAACTGGGAACTTCCACATGCTGACAAAAGCACTTCCTGCTGTAACTGTGTTGCTGTGCTTTGTGGGTCTTGACGTCATGTCTGTGTTTGCAGCTAATGTTACAGAGGGTCTGAGCCAGAGTGTGTCCTGTTGCTGTAGTCTGAAAGCCTACAACCCACTCAATGAAATATGCTGTCAGTCAACCGTCAAAGACAAGCCTACAGCAAACGCACAGTGTTGTGGTGAAGGTTAGTAGACAGTGGACATGATTGTTGGGTTTAAAGCCTTTTTAAAACACACTTTTCATCATACAGAAGAGGAATATATATATCCTATTTCAGTATTAACTTGTGTGATTTATACCATCTCAACTAAATATCCTCGGTTGTGATTGACTGATAAATGTAAATTAGTAGTTTACCAATTAGTATAATTAGACATACAAGATGGACATGTTTAGATCTATTCAACTTTTCATCCAGAGGAAGGCAACAGTGAAGCTCAGCTACAGAACCTGAAACCTTGGTTTGTTTCATCTGAAAATGATTACTCACAACTGTTCTGGTGTTTCCTACATGCAGATTTGATTTTCTGACGATTTCAAGACTCAAAAGATTATTACCACTTTACACTGTAAAAGTGATGTTCTGTTCTTGTTCTGTGCAAAAGCTGGTGGTGTAAAAGATAACTTGTAGCCAGCAGGTATGTCTGAGGTTAAAGTGATACGTTTTAAAGAATCATTCCAATCTTCTCTACAGATGCTTTTGATAAAGATACACAGCTGTGTTGTGGTCTCGGTGATAATAAGAAGATCCTGTTGAGAATTTCCGATCGCCACCAGTGCTGCGGACATGACCAGTTTGACCGTGTGACTCAGCACTGCTGCCTGAAGGATGGCTCTTTAGTGATACATTCCATTAACTCCAGCAATTGTAGAGAGGAGTCAGGTGAGTCTCACCTTACAATTTTTAAACGCAGTTTTATGCAATGTATTGAATTCATATTTTTTAAATGAATTCCCAGCTGTTTTTCCCTTTTTAGGGCAAAAGTGGGATAAAAAATCTGTGTTCTTCGGTAGGGTGTAGGGGGTTACGACCTGGCTAGTAGGGGAAAAGGGAAGCATCATAAAAAGGAGATGGTTTTGGTAAATTATTTATTAAAAAAGAAGTAAAACTGTGACACAGCAACAAAAAGGTGAGGCTAATTGAAATGGCCAAAGAGTGCTGCCCAATTCAATAACACAGTAAAATGTGTGTGTGTGTGTTTACTTAACAAAACTAAAAGCTGTCTCAGTTCACACAATAGAACGAGGGCCTCAGAACATACATGATTTTACAAACAAATAGGAAAGACAACGAGAGGCAAGCTGAAAACAAACAGAGCTTTGCTAAGACTGTCGAGCTGGCAAAGCTTCTTAAGGTGTCAGTGGACAGGTGCTCCCCTTTTGATTGGTTGAATGTCTTGTTGCAGCTCCTTACCTATCAGGGTTCACCAGCAGCAGCAGCACAGGTGAATGAAATCAGGCCAACGCGCACGCCAAACACAGGAGACGGGGTGCGGCTGGAGCTGTAACATAGGGCTACATTCAAAGTGTTTGGGGCCCACGTCGGCGCCCCCTAGAGCGGGATGCTTACTCGATTGACTATTTCACTGATGCCTAGAGCTGGCCTCTGCTTTTTACATGTACCAGGGTGGAATTTTCATGCATATTGTACATCTATGGGTGCTAAAGGTCCTGCGTTGTCATGTCAGACTTCATTTGGGTTGGTTGGTCTTTAGATGGCATTGTGATCACTTCTTCATATATATTTTTAAGTCACAACATAAGATTTGTTTACGTATCTGGCATGAATGTTTATTTTTCGTCTGAAACTAAAAGATAGCACCCTGCACAGGGACCTTTACACATTTCCCATTCCCTTAAACATATTTTAAATGGTATTGTAACATCAGGGAGGTGTGTAATGCCTGTATCTTGACTTAATAGTATATGTATGCCTGTGTACCAACCATCTTTGCCATCTTTCCAAATGAAACAGTGTCAGCTCTCTGTGGACAGAAGACATATGACGAACGCAACGAACTGTGCTGTGAATCATCTCTAGTAGCCAAACCAACACCAGCTTCCAAATGCTGCGGTAATGGTGAGTAGAGCAGAAGAAAAGAAAACATCCTTTGAATTAGACGGGGAAAAAACTAAGAAGTATTGAACAGAAGTAAAACTAAACACACACTGACTACATCAGGCCAGTTGTGATATTGGATGAGGTTAAAGTGATACTGAATAATCCTGATTCTTTCCCCAGAGACATATGATGAAGACAACCAGTTGTGTTGTGGTCTTAATGAAAAGAAGATCCTGAAGAGGAAGTCCAGTAACCACGAGTGTTGTGGACAGAAGGGCCAGTACGACAAAATGACTCAGCGCTGCTGTTTGGTGGATAACGCTTTGAAGATACAACCTATTAATTCCACATGCTCTGAGGAATTGTCGAGTGCGTATGAATAATCCCTTTAACTGCTTTACACAGCTTCCTGTGAATCTATGAAATATTTTGTTTTAGTTCTGACTGCTTCTCAGTATCGTAGTGTTTTTTTTTGATGTACACATTTTTAAGTTCAACTACTCAGTGCAGCCCGGTTTATGACATCAACAGGTTGATCATTAAAGGTCCTCGTAGATCATAATTGACTGTAAAGCTTCCTATTTCTGTTTTATAATTTAAGAGCAGTTGTTACGACCAGGGAATTTAGGACCCAGATGCAGGACACATAAACAGCGGGGTTGATTGGTAATGAGGTTTATTGTGGCAAATGGAGATGAAGATAGGTTGAAGACTCTGGAGGTTAGCAGAGTGAAGGGGATGAAGGCTGACCAGACTAGAGTTGGGGTGTGAGTGTGGCTGAGCAGTTTTGAGTCCAGAGATCAGGTTGAGGTAGATGGCTGAGCAGGAAGGCAGGTGGGTGAATGGTGATCCTGAAGCAAAGGAAAAAACAGGATGGGACTCAAAAACTAAAACAAGCACAAAAGATTAATTTCAAAGATCTTTCAAAATCCTAATTAGCCCGAGACGTCGTCTACCGCAGTAGTTGATACAACAATCTGGCAATGAGTGCATGGAGAGCCGGGGTATATATACTGCTGAGTTGATGAGGAGATGGAGAGCTGGTGTGCAGGTGAGAGCAGGTGAAAGGAATGAACCTCAATCAGGAGGGAGCCAGAGTGAGAGATCAATGACAGCAGTTGTGTCTCTGCTGTGAGAGAGACAAGACGCAGCCTTCAGGTATGACAGGTGGTTTTGTTTATTTGAGTGCTGCTTATGCAGTGTTATCTGTTATCTGGCATAAAGAGGAGCCTACCGACTAGATTGTGTTTGAGTGCAGCACAGATAAGACAACAGGAACCAAGCAGACAGAGCTGAGTGTGAACTTCTTTTGTTCTCCAGAGAATACTGTATGCAAGTCGTATACCTTGTACGTCGTATTTTCAGCTGCAGACATTAGCTCATCATAGCTGCATCCAGGAACCCATGAGGGATGAAAGTGTGAAATGATAATTAAAGGAATAAACATGCCAGTTCAGGTCCTCTAAGAAGACATTCTGCTTGAAGGGAAGTCAAACAATATGAACTGTTGTGTAATATCTAACTGAAGTTTCAAACCTTTATCATTTAAAGGTCCCATATTATGCTTTTTCTGGTTTTATATGCCCTTTAGTGTGTTTTCCAAGTGTCCTGTGCATGTTTAGGCACATCTATGTGCAAAAATTCAAAGTCCACGGAAACGCGGCTTCTCCTACCTCCTCCTGTTAGCTGTAGCATTAGCTGCATGTAACGCTTGGTTCTAGCCCCCCCTCGATAAAAATTTGTCAGTCCGACGTCTTTGTCAGTGTGAGATCACTGATCTTAGCCCATTGGCTCGTTGTGGCAAGCCCTGCAGCTCATGCTGAAATTTCTGAGACGCGTGCTGAGCAACTGACCAATAACGACAGAGCGAATTGGCAGACCAATCAGAGCAGACTTGGCCCACGTGGGGTCTAACAGTGTGGGCTCAACAGAGTGCAGCTGACGGACTCAGAGGGTGCGTTCGAATTGTCCCTCCTATCTCCTTTCACTATCCACTTTACCTTAACCCCGGAAGCATTTAAGTGGCGACCATGATAAAAGCCGTTTAAATTCTCTAAAAGTTAAGGAAAGGTGGGTCAATGCTTCCTTTATAACCTCCTTTAGCATAGGATACACTGGACCATCCTTTACCAAAGGAGATGAGATATGCCGCCCCACAATTCCTTGCGGCCGCAACATTTAAAGCGAGTCGCGCATCCGACCGTTCACGAACATTAACGATGATAGTAAAATGACATAGATCATGTAAGAGTTAAAAAGATAAAAGACATTTTTATCCAGATGATGTTTTATTCAACATATTTCATTCACTTAAGAATGCTGTGCAGTTGTACATTTGTATGCTTAAAACATTATGTGTAGGTTATATCTTACATAAATGTAACAATTAATTTCATACAATCATTTATGTTGATTTCTGATTGGACAGGAAGCTGAAGGTTTCACTTTTGTTACTTGTAGCCTGGTAGCCTATATTTCTTTTATTTCAATCCCAACCTTGTGGTAATTAAGATTATTTCACCAGTAAGAAGGCACAGAAAAAGTTTTTTTAGATGCGTTTTTTGGAGTCCATTTTCTGAACATTGTAGTTTCAACACGGCAGACCCACGTCATTAACCTCCGCCGGCCTGTCGCATTTAATGACGTCGCCTAGTGGAAAATGCGGTTGGATTGTCAGAGCAACGAGATCGCCTTTCCTTAAGTCCTTTAGGAATGCTCCTAACATCTTTCCTTAACCTTATGACGTTTTCTCGGGGTTAAGGTAAAGTGGATAGTGAAAGGAGATGGGAGGGACAATTCGAACGCACCCAGAGTGTAGAGGGAGCAAGGAGGAGCAGTACATTAAAACAGACACTTTTTTTTCGGACTTTAGCTATTGTGAACGTACAAAAGTAGGTACATGGATTAAATATACGAACCTGAAAAAAGGGCATAATATGGGTTCTTTAATGTTGGGGGAAGGAAGGTATTTATGCTTTTATGAAAGAGACAGGACAATGGATAGCTTTAGAAATCAGGGAAATGGAGAGTGGAAAATTAAATATGGTAAAGGAGCCACAGGTTGTATTTGAACCCGGGCTGCTAAAAGATAGCACCCTGCACAGGGACCTTCACACATTTCCCATTCCCTTAAACATATTTTAAATGGTATTGTAACATCAGGGAGGTGTGTAATGCCTGTATCTTGACTTAATAGTATATGTATGCCTGTGTACCAACCATCTTTGCCATCTTTCCAAATGAAACAGTGTCAGCTCTCTGTGGACAGAAGACATATGACGAACGCAACGAACTGTGCTGTGAATCATCTCTAGTAGCCAAACCAACACCAGCTTCCAAATGCTGCGGTAATGGTGAGTAGAGCAGGAGAAAAGAAGACAATCCTTTGAATTAGACGGGGAAAAAACTAAGAAGTATTGAACAGAAGTAAAACTAAACACACACTGACTACATCAGGCCAGTTGTGATATTGGATGAGGTTAATGTGATACTGAATAATCCTGATTCTTTCCCCAGAGACATATGATGAAGACAACCAGTTGTGTTGTGGTCTTAATGTAAAGAAGATCCTGAAGAGAAAGTCCAGTAACCACGAGTGTTGTGGACAGAAGGGCCAGTACGACAAAATGACTCAGCGCTGCTGTTTGGTGGATAACGCTTTGAAGATACAACCTATTAATTCCACATGCTCTGAGGAATTGTCGGGTGCGTATGAATAATCCCTTTAACTGCTTTACACAGCTTCCTGTAAATCTATGAAAATTTTGTTTTAGTTCTGACTGCTTCTCAGTATTGTAGTGTTTTTTTTCAATGTACACATTTTTAAGTTCATCTACTCAGTACAGCCCGGTTATAAAAATTGTTACTTTGAATTATGACATCAACAGGTTGATCATTAAAGGTCCTCGTAGATCATAATTGACTGTAAAGCTTCCTATTTCTGTTTTATAATTTAAGAGCAGTTGTGTCTAAGAACATGGTTAGTGGGACCTCCATGTTGGTTTAAAACCATTCTATTACATCTATCTGAGGCAGAGCACACGTACTGGATTTATTCATGTCAGCTAGCTTGTTTTTGTTTAGTTTTCCGACTGTACAGGGTGCTGAGAATAAGAACAGTTGTATTATGCTGTGAAGAATCATAGTTAGTGCTGTCATGAACATGTACTAAAAACATGTTGTGCTTTATGTCCACAGGTGTGCAACAACAGGTAAGACATATCCTACCTAACACCCTACTATCTTTAGTTTTTGTTTAGTCTTTTTGTTGTGATTCATGGTGTCTCATCAGCTGCGCACAAAGCTGCCCAGAACTGTAACCATAGTTACCATAATAGTAATGTCCAAAACATATCTACTGATTGTAACACAATCTAACACACAGAGAGCCACCTGTGTAACTCCAATCCTCTTGTTGCAAGTGTTGCAACACTGATGTTACAACTTCACCATGGAGCCCTGGGAATGTTTTTTTTGTTTTTGTTGGATTGCCTTGTATTGATAAATGAGGAAAAGGAACAAAGCAGTGAAGTATTAGTTTGCCCACTAAGATTTCTATATTTCTGTGTTTTTTCTTCCATATATATTTTTAGAAAGGAGCTCAACCCAAACGGTAAGTCAAGTTTTTAAGTCTTGTACTGACACCAACGACTATTGTTTAATGATGAGCTATATTCAATATTCTGACTAGTGTTTCAATTCAACAAGTTTACCTTAAAAATGATCACAACTTTTCTAAGTTGTACATACACCGATGTATGTTACATTTCAAAACTGCAAAGAACTTTTATGCACAAAACAAGAGTCATATTGCTATTGTAAAAAAATAAATTCAAAACGTTTTTCTAAACTCTTAACGCACCAACACACCTACAACACACAATTGGCAAAACGGTTAATTTGATGCTCAAAATCACACATTGTAATCTATACTTCAACACTAATTTTCAAAATACAATAATACACAAAAAAACACATTACACTATGTCCACCAAAACACTGCAAATATTTCTCAAAATCAAATAAACTTCCAAAACACTAACACATGTTCCCTTCCAACAGGAATGTTTAGTCAACCACAGCACAATTGTCATAAAAACACTGACATCAGATGGAATGACAGAAACTGCATTATTTTACCTGTGTCAGGTCTGCCCTTATACAATAGAAAGTATATTGTGTTGATCATAGATTGTGTTCTGCACTGCAGTTTCTTTTGGAGCCTCTCTACATGTTTGTTTTGTTGGGTTACTGTAATCCCACGTCTTCACTTCCAGTAAAGGTAGTCATTCAAACTGGGCAAATTGCCACCAGAGAGGCACGCCAACTGTATGACTTGGCATGTACGTTTCATGCTTGTATCCACACTGCAAGCTACCTGAGATTATTGCTCTTCCAACATTAATTATTGTTGTTGGAAGAGCAGATCATTTAGCGAATTAGCAAAAGCTAACTTTCTGTGTTTGGCACCTGCTTGTCCAACAGAAAGCAGGCCAACTCCACGTACGCTGGTGAAAGCCAACCCAAAGTTCACCCTCATTTTGGAACAAGCTTTACCCGTGTGGCATTTCCCTCACTGTTATCATATTTTCCTCTATTTGCCTCCACAAGATGTGTGGCAGCTGATAAATGATGACTAAAACTAACTATTGTTTATTTGTGCTTATCTGTGCACATTCACAGTCCTGAAACACACAATATTTTGTGCGGGTCATCATGGTTCAGCGGGACTGGATACCTCTGCTGTGAGAGAGACAAGACGCAGCCTTCAGGTATGACAGGTGGTTTTGTTTATTTGAGTGCTGCTTATGCAGTGTTATCTGTTATCTGGCATAAAGAGGAGCCTACCGACTAGATTGTGTTTGAGTGCAGCACAGATAAGACAACAGGAACCAAGCAGACAGAGCTGAGTGTGAACTTTTTTTGTTCTCCAGAGAATACTGTATGCAAGTCGTATACCTTGTATGTCATATATTCAGCAGCAGACATTAGCTCATCATAGCTGCATCCAGGAACCCCTGAGGGATGAAAGTGTGAAATGATAAACAAAGTAATAAACATGCCAGTTCAGGTCCTCTAAGAAGACATTCTGCTTGAAGGGAAGTCAAACAATATGAACTGTTGTGTAATATCTAACTGAAGTTTCAAACCTTTATCATATAATGTTGGGGGAGGGAAGGTATTTATGCTTTTATGGAAGAGACAGGACAGTGGATCGCTTTGGAAATCAGGGAAATAGAGAGTTGAAAATTAAATATGGTAAAGGAGCCACAGGTTGTATTTGAACCCGGGCTGCCTGCTTGAGGACTGTAGCCTCTATACAAGGGGCACTCAAACTAACCACTAGGCCACCGGCACCCTATCAGTCTGTACCCTAATAAAAAGCCACCATTTGGGGCACTGGTGGCGCAATGGTTAGTGAGCGTGTCCCATGTATGGAGGCTGTCGTCCTCCAAGCAGGCGGCCGGGGATCCAATCCGACCTGTGGCTCCTTTTGTGCATGTCATTTTAAGTCCCTGGTAACAGACAACCAAAGAAACTGACAAAGCCAAAGAGTAAGAGAATGTTTATCTTATACAAAAAAAACTGAATTTAATGAACAAGGTGGGGGTGAGGATTGGACAAAGTGGTTGTGCCAAATAAATCAACTCAACAAAACAAAACCGGACTTAACTAGTCTCTAACCTCATGTAAAAGTAATCCAAACACAAACCTGACTAAAAAATATTGAAAGATAAAACCACATACTGTAGGTGGCACATACCACACTTACCTAGTGTTTCTAACAAAGTCAACTAAGTATGTGTAGCAAATGTAGGGGAACACCAACTTACCGAGTCCAACCTCACCACAAACCTTTCAGCACAATGATCCACAGAAAAACTGGCCGATACAACAAGACTGACAGAGAATGATGATCAAACAGCATGACTGGCAAAGAGCTGTTGCTGCAGAGTTGGTGTGTCCTAAAAATAAAAAAAGCCACCATTCAATGCAACTTATGAACACGCTAACATTTACTAACTACAAGGAGAGACTACAATATTTCCTTGAACATATTTGGAGAACATAAGAACATTAAGTCTGTGAGTAAAGAGAGAGAAATCTTTATTTGTTACAGCACAGGACTGTTTCTCTACATACTGAACTCTGTGCCTGTGGAAGTTTTTTTTGGGTGTTACTTTTAAGGAATGTGTCAAGCCACAATGAGCTAGCGAATCAGCATCAGTTGTTTTTGGCCAAGATCCTCAAGGAAAGCTTCTTCCAAAAATTCGCCCAAGCATTTGATGTTTTGAAGTGGTTGTTATTGAGACGTGACAGCTTAGGAAAAAAAAAACAGACTTTCTGAGCTGACACCTTTACCTTCAGGGCATCATCTGTTCCATAGAAAACTTTTCCATTTAAAGAAATCCAAACTACATTGTTACATTTAACAGTTTTACAACTCATTTATTGCCACTGCAATTGTTAAGACTTGGTTAGATTAAGGTATGAATGTGAGTATGGTGTAAGTTAGGGAAGGATTGAGGTCACGGGTAAAAGAAAGAAAATACTAATGTTGTGAATTTTCACGTTACTTAAACATATTTTCCTTCCAGCTGGAGTTGTATTTCACACAGCTGTTAGAGGTCAGGTTAATGTAAGTGTAGGCTGATGAACTATGAACAATACAGTTGTTTTGTTGTGAAGACATCAGGCACAAAAATGATTTACTCTCTCAAAGCAATCAGAGTGGGCAGCAGCTAACTTGCACACTGCAGAAGGAAAAGACCTCTGAAAACATGGATCAGAAAACAAAAGTAGAGACTTGCCTCTGTTCTTTGGTGTTAACATTTTAGCTGAACTTTCACTTTGGAAGTATCAAGGTGTAGCGGTTGTGTACTCTCTCTTGCGTTGTGTGATGAATCATTCAAACACTTTTACTTTTGGCACCAGCACGCCGTTTAATCTGATAACAACAGAAGCACATACGGTCTCTCACAGCCACTCTTGTAGTAATAAGCTCGCAACATTGCTAAAATATAAGAACAAATAATTGAGCAACCTGTTAAGCAAGCTACACCACGGAGATCAGAAGTTACATTTTAGCTAGCAAAACACATGTGATGAGCCTAAATGACTCAAAAACATAGTAATATGGTCACAGAAAAGTTTTACAATAATTTCGGAGCTTCTCTCAAACATGTGAAATAGAAAAATATTACTTTTATCAAGAAAAATGAACATATTTTATAGTATTTTAGCGGAGCTCATATACACAAACTTACCACGGGGACAGCATAGTGCAGACTGGCAAAGATACACGGGTTGCACTGCTCAAGTCTGCAGGGGCACAAGCAGAGGGCGCTTATGTTACACAGAGTCCCAGTGGATACTCATTAGAATTAATTATAAACGGTATTTAAACAATAGAAATAGTCAAATAAAGACATTCTATGCCAAGTGATGGCAAGTGGAATCATTAACTCCATTACACAGGAACACAAAATATAACACTGTCTGACGACTTTCCTGTCCAATGACTGACTCCAGAAGAATTTCAAAAACAGCATGTAGAGTCATGAATTCTTATTTTAGCTTTTTGTATTTGCCAGATCTCAGGGAGTTGTTCAGTTGGACACAAACCATCTGAAAGTGAGATTAAGATTCCATCCTGCAGGTCATTGAAACAGGGAACGCTGTAACCCCGAACTACTGTTATAATTAATGCATGACATCATGGTGAGATCCAACAACAAGAGAGCCTTAGCCCTCCCCTGTGGCGACTTGTGCCATCAGACAGGCGCAATACACACACCCGGTGCCTCGTAAAGCTGCTTTTTCCTATGACTGCAGATCAGCTCATGTCTTTGTTTTGTTCAGATGTGAATATTGAAACACTGTTCACACACAGTTCTACAGCCTTTCTACTCTGGGAAGATAGGATGTGGGTGTTTATCAAAGGAGCCAGAAAACCAGTTTTTCAGCACTTATTAAATGTCAGCCCTGTTTATCAAATTGGTTTGTCTTGGTCTAACCCTCTGAATCATTTTCTTCATGCCCACACCCTCTGCACATGTTTAAACTCCGCTGTTTTTTTCTGTTCTGCTTGAATTGATCCATCTTGTATCAACTATCCTCTGTCTAGGTCAGGGTAATATTGACCCCACATGTTCACATGTCTGCTGTGCTGGCTGTATATCTGAGTGGAAGTCTTTGGATCAGGTAATGTACCACTGACCCTTTTTCTATCTTATGTGCTCAGATGAGTGAATGATGTTAACAGTTTAAATACACGCTGTCATCATTACAACGTTATATGTTATTATTATGTTATTGCATTTGAGTGTGGTTATGACCGACCGTGCCCCCTTGTTTCTGCTCTTCCGCACCCTTTTTATTAAAAAAAATATCTCTCTCTTCCAGGGCTGCGGAGCGACGCAGAACAGCTTGGCACAGCACAAAGTCCTTTGTTTTGATCTGGAAACAGACAGAAAGGATGGAGAGGAGTGTTCAGACATCAGTGTTCCTTACCTCCAATCTAAAGGGACTATATGTTGTAATAAGTTTCATGGCTCACCAGGACAACACAGCTGTGGGACAGAACTCTACAATCCTCATAGAGAAATCTGCTGCAATGGACACAGGTGATTATGCGTGCATCTCTGTTGATGTTTATCCATAAAAAAATACTGATGACATTCAGTGAAATTGTAACCCTCATTGTTGAATCAGCTTTGTTGGTGTATTTGTCGGGCTCTGTGTGCTGTGGCTTGCAAAGTGTTTAAAAGAGTCTGTGCATGAGGGAATAGAGAATCTCAGACAAGGAGGGGCGGGGGAAAAAAATCAGTGTCTGAGACAGGCAGGAATTCCAGTATCTTTCCAGACCACTGTTTCCTTTTAACCTTTAAAATGCACCCAGCTACTGAGTCAGGGAATGTCTGTACGGCTGGGTCAGCTGCTTTCTCTTAATTTTTGTATTTTTCTGGCTGACTGTATGTTTTTCACGTGTATGTTATGACTTCTCCTCACACAAAGGTTTACCATATTTGGACGGGGCCTCATATTTAAGTCATAATACATTTTGTTCTTGCTTTTGGAGTTCAGAGAAATACTCTTTCCTAACAATGAAATGTCTTTAAAATGTGAATGTAGGGGCGCGCTGGTGGCGCAATGGTTAGGGCGCGCGTCCCATGTATTGAGGCTCTCGTCTGGAGCGGTAGGCCCGGGCTCGCTTCCACCCGTGGCCTCCTTCCGCATGTCATTCCCCACTCTCTCTCCCTGGTTTCCGATTCTATCCACTGTCCTGACTCTGCATTAAAAAGGCAAAACAAAGCCCAAAAATAAATCTTTAAAAAAATTTTGAAAGTAGTCAATAGCCGTGATTAATTCACATAAGTTATTAATACACCCGGTTGATTTTCAGCTTCTTAGTTTTAGGTCACAGTTTTAGATTTACAGTCAGCACTGTATTGACTGAATTTTTTTTTTTTTTTCTTTTTCAAAATCTGCCTGGAGAGAAAAAACTAACTTGCTAATCTACATGTGTTTTGATTGATAATATTTCCACGCTGTTCTGAGTCAGTTTGGTTCACTGGTGCTTTTCAGCAGTGTTTTTAGTCATTTCTGTCTGATACATGATTTTCTATTTAAATAGATATTTTATTTTAATCAGTACACCTTCTAACACTAACAGCATAACATGCATTTTACTCAGATTTTTATGCTTCAAGTCTTCCCCCCCCTTTTAGTAATGATCACTACTGTGATACAACAGTACAGTGGCTGAACATATCATTTTAGACACTGTGTTGCAGAAGTGATGTCAATCTCACATCCATAGCCCCCTTTTTAGACCATCTATCTTTAAATGATCACAATACAATTATAATAATTTCTTCATCTCACTCCCCTGATGTGACACTCACTGCTAAACCTGTATCCACACAGACATTCCAAAGAAGAAAACAAGCGCTGCTGTGGGGTTCAAGCCTACAACATTAAGAACAAACAGAAGAAGTGCTGCGCAGGGACACTGTACCACCTGTCATCTGAAATTTCGGCACATGAAGCACAATGCTGCGGATCCAGCTTGCAGAAATCATCGGTAGGTTTTCTGATAACATCCGTAGTTACTGTCATCATTATGTTTGTAACCTAAACGCATTCAGCGTGTCACAGGGCTACGCCGTACCCTCCAGGGCAGTGGTTCCAAACTGGATTTGGATTTGGAATGTGTGCCTGGAAAAAAGAAACAGTGTCAAAAAGTCTATGAAGTGCTCTTCAAAATGTTTTGATTTGTTCAGTTTCTTTGTTCTGTCACGTGTCTAAGGTCCAAACTGCACCATTTTTAATTACATAAATCTGAATTTGAAATATATTCCAAATTCAGGTCCAATTTTCATGAAGGATTTGGTAGTGGGTCCTTGGTCTATACCAGATAAGATCCCCTGCTCTAGAGTAAGGTACACACTTGCACGCATTAATGTTACACAGCCACTTTGAAGTAAACATCAAGCCGGCTAAGAGGCCCGTGTTAATGTTAGATTATCATGACTAGCAACAACTAATCAGTGTGACTGATCTTTGACAAACCGTAAGTATAACTGCATGTCAAAGAACTTTAAAAATTGTATTTTTGTTACATAAAAACATTGAATTCTTTTTTCAGATATGTGATTGTTACTCACTTGTTGCTCCACAGCCTTGTATACACTCCACTTCCACAATCAGGAACTGTTAAACAGAAATAATGCCTGCCATTGGCTTACAAGGAGGTGTGCCAAGTGGAAGGCGCCAAGTATGGTGGAAGTGTAGGGGTGTTTAGGTTGCTGAGATTAAAAATGTTCTTTTAATGGCAGTTTAAGAGTTTACTTACATGTCATGCAATATGATATGTTTAGCCCCATTTCAGGTGCTTGTGTTGTTTGCAATTCAGCTAATACTCACATGAGATTTAGGCTACAGTATATAGGAGAGGAAGGGGCAGGGGTCCAGATTGTGTAGAGCTCCTTTGTTTCGTTATTTTCATTTTCTCCAGGGCTACACTCTACATATTGCTGCACTTGTTTTCACTGTAAATACATTCACTGGGACTGCAGAGATACCACAGAAGCACAATCCTAACACTGACCCTGCTCTGTCTATTATTCTAACCATTGTACTTTATATCCAGGACATTTGCTGCTCAAATGAACACAAGGAGGTGCTCTACCCTGCCAAGACGGGATTCAGTTGCTGTGGTCACCTCTACTACAACACGTCATTGTGGTCATGTTGTGCAGGGAAGCTGAGCCCAGTCCACAAACCAGGACAGCGTCATGGCAGGTCGATTAAAAGTCAGTTTTGCTTTTCTTGGACACCACTTTGACTAATTGCCTTGAGAGTTAGGCTTGATAGTTGACATTTTAACTTGGTGTTTTTGTCACTATCTGGATCTAAAAAGATGTATATAATGTTCCTTTTTCAGAACCCAGACTTGTATCGATGAGCAACCTGAATGAAGAAGATCTCTGCAAAGAAAGTAAGATATCACTTTCATGCGAACTGGGAAACAGATACTGTTATAAATGTAATTAATAATAAATGTAATATATTTATGTTCCTGTTTAGTGCTTATCGGGATTGTGGACAGTGTGTCTCTGCACAGCATCGTGTTCAGCAGTGTGTTCAAAATCTTTGGAAGAAATGCCACTGTGATACATCTGCCCTCGACTCACGTCCTGAGAGCACCTGATCACTGCAACTCCCCAAAACTGATCCTTGGGAAAACCTGCTTTTTTGATCAAGTTAATGTCTTCACTGATTTCACCCATGACTCTCTTCACCAGTCCCTCCATTTTATTATTTCCAAATGTTATCGTCCTTAAACCACCTCTGGTTAACCTCTTTTAACAGACATTGTCAGTGTCAGGCGGTTTACTTGAAAAGCTTTCAAGTATCTTTTTACTAAAATTACTGAAGTACATACACTACCTTACTAAGCAGTTTGAAGTTAAACAACTCAATACATTACCTATTGACGCTTCCTTTAATAGTGCCGTTTCACAACTCCATAGCTATGGGTCAGCCTTTTAGGACATTATTCATAGTTATTGAAACATATGATGTTATTTAGAAGTATGAAAGTACAGCACTGATGATGATGATTTGGATGACTGAGTAGAGCTCAGTATTACAGTCAAGAGATTTGGTTTAAGGTCTCAGAACGAGTCACAGTTGAATTACCTTTACAAACATTGTTCGGGGGAACAGTGGAAACCAAGATGATGAGGGAGCTGAAAACATTGCCCAAAAGGGAAGAAGATAAAATGTAGCTATAACCTAACACCATTCAATAAACTAAAAACATGACATTACTGGATGTATCACGAGCTAAAGAGAATCTTTATTGAATGTGAGAAACAAAAATATATTGTGAGTCAGAACACATTGCAGTTACTGTCAGTGCATTGGGTATAAGTTATTGTGCCTTAATTTGGAAATTTACCAATTGATTCTATCTTGTGTGTCATTTTACCAAACAAATTTGCAATGAAATGACCAAAACATAATTTAGAAAAACAGCCAAGACTTCAAGTAAGCAAACTTTCCAAAATGTAGAAGTCGAGCAGTATTACTGGAATTATTTACTGCAATATTTGTAATAATAATTCTTGTTGCGAAAAGTGTAAATGCTCCTATAAGTGTCTTATAAAGTGAATGGGGATTTAATGATCTGTACTCTTTTAAGTATATGCTTCGATTCATTTCCAACAAATGGACATAAACTACAGGGAAAAGCTGTTGTTTTTGCAAAATACCTGTAGCTGATTTATTTTCTGTCATGAAAGAATATTTATTTTCATTTCTACATAAGCTTGACAGCTACAAGCTAATACATTTGGTGTTTTGAAATAATAAGCTGACCTTAAAAACTTTGGGCTTAAATGTATTTATTCTCACACTCAAGTTAGAGGTGGCAAGTGTTTGCACAAGCCTTTGCACTATTACAAACATGATTTGTATCAGGGCTACAGATATGCTATAATGCTAACAGTCACCCAAAGGTTCAACTGTGCCTTGAAAATACTTCTACATTATCATTTCGGTTATCCTTTGTTGTCTCAGACTTTTCATGTGAATGTGTTTTCTGTAATGTGTTACACTGTTTTGGAAACAGAGTCTATTTTGACATTTATCAGTACTGAACATTCTTCTGTAAACTCTAATTGTACTATTAGAATTAAGGAATATTTTATTTCCCACACTATACTTTCTGTTTAAACTGCATGTTTATATTGATTGATTTATCGCATGTGTCTTAAAAATAACAGGATTTGGTGGGTGCCTGACTCTTTTGTGTTTTTCTACTTAATAAAAACAGTTATGACACCTTATGGGCCACACTTGAGTTTTTGAAAAATAATCTTTATAATGTTCCCATTGTACCCTCACTTTGCAGGCTGCAATCATTCATGATTTGTACTAATGCCACTAAAAAAGTAATGCATGTAAATGTATTACATGATTTCTGTAATACCCAGTCAACGTAAACAAAACTAAACACAAAAGCCAGGGAAGAAATATGAAAGGCCCTGAATTCTCATCTGAACTGATCTGGCTCTTAAACTGATACCAAGCAAAAATCCTTTAATTTTTCAATTAAAAATGCACAATTCTGATCAATACCAATACAAATTCACAGAAGCGCTGGCTTCTTTCTTGCTTTCTTTGGTATTCTTTTGCTTTTGGGGAAAAAAAAGACCAGGGTTGACATAAAAGATACCACATTCCCAGTTTACTGTTACTGCATGGTATTAACAGTGTAGGATTGACAAGTGTTAAACCCCAGTCATTCATTTGGTAAGGGAGCTTCAACATGTCCAATGTTTACAACTGATGGAAGTTTACTGATGACCACAAGCTCGACTGGCATCCCTGATGCATACTTTTCCAAGAGCTAGTGCTGAAAGTCGAGCCTGCCTGAGGTGTTGTGGGCCTAACGTGGGTCTGTTGAAGGTGGCACTGCTGTTTGGGGTTGGGGTGGTCACTAAGGCCCATTGGTGGGGTATGTACTGTAACTTATCATTAAGGCAAAAGCTTGGGGATGAAAGCTTCTGTATGGTTATTTGGAGAGGGGGTTCCTCACTGAGCGCTTATCCTTTTTATTTGGGAACACATATTGTATGTTTAATGTAATTTAATCAACACGAGGTTTATAAAAACAGACGGATTTCTAATCATTGGACATGCATATGTTCTTTCCTTTCTTTATATTGAAAAGTTAAACCATCTTTTTGTCAAATTTGCACCTTAATGACAAAAGATGTCAAAATATAAAAGCTGTTCTCTTTATTAATGTAATTCCAAAAGCATGACCTTTTCAAAACAAATACAGACAATTCCAGTAATATACTGGAACAACACGTGTTTTAAATTGACTCGCCTCCCACTCTCTTCAGTTCCAGTCACCCATTTTTTTTTAGAAATTGGGGAATCAACAACATACCAGACATGCCATGATGGAGAGGGGAATTGAAAAGTAGACATTACAAATTTGATGACCTGCATATTATGGGGTTGTTGTTGGCTAACATATACCTAACGTGTGTGTGTGTGTGTGTGTGTGTGTGATATCCTAATTAGGTTATAATTATCATCAAATTGTTTAACTTGCTGAAAACATGATCTGAGACATCAGTAGAAACAGTTTAACAGGCTGTCCCAGCTTTTGGCATCAGGTTTGAGGGTTGTATTTCTAAACAGAGAAACAGGAGGCTAAAACATTTGATAAATAGATACACAAATAGTGAGGCTTAACCTCAGAAACATTAAGATCAGTATCTCTGTAAGATAGCCTTGCAGTAGACACACACGTTTTCACACGTTTTAAGCTAGTCTGCTTGTGTTGGCTGAAAGAGGCCATGGGCAAGAACAGTGTATATGTTTGTGTATGTTTGTGGTTCATAAAAAAGAGAGTACAGATGGGTTATTGAGCTGGTGGTAAGCAGTAGCCATACACAGATCATTCATGCCTCTGTCAAAGCTGCCTGCAGGCTCAGAAGCAACAGTTGCCAACACAGTTATTCAACACATGAAGTGAATAAGATAGATTTAAAGGGAAGAACAAGATAAAGACAGAGAAAGTGTAAAGCAGCCAATCGGTCTCTCCTGTAGAATCTGTAGACTTATGGTACCAGACATCATGGATCATGTTGCTGTTCATGTTCAAGTGAGAATGAATAAAGATTTCGCCTGCTGCGGCCCGTCCCTGATCCCCAGCAGGCAAACTGCTCGTTTCTACCTGCTTTTTATTCTCATTGCTCTGAACATGCTGGCTGCCGCTGCCATTTTTTCTTCTTTGGAAAGGCCAGCGGAGCTTCAGGCCCACAAGCTTTGGGAAAGGAGGCTAAAAGTTTTCAGTCAGGACCATGACATCAGCTGTGAAGACTTGACGTCTCTTGTTACGCCACTATGAGGAGACAAGTACTTCACCTATCTGGACGGACCGAGGCAGAGCGCTATTCATCATTTCTTAAATATAATACAGTTTTAATTTCTTGATTGTCTTTCGTTGTATTGCAGGTTTTTGTTGTTGTTGTGTTTTTAACTCATTCCTAAGTGTCCTTTACTTGTAAATGGCCAGCCTGTCAACATGCAAGGAGTAATATCAGAGTTCTATGAATTTACAGTCAAATAATGAAATTTAAATTCCGAATCAGAATATTGTAAAACACTTTTGCTCAGTCAAGGTCAAATGTCTTATCATTCTGATGGCCAATAACAGATAGAAACTGATATGTCCAAATAAAAAGTGTATCCCTTGACAACCAGTCAGTAACATTTTTCACATATCTTTAACAATTACATGCAATGACATATCACAAGCAGCCTAATAAACATTAAGCCACATTGATCTCTATAAAAAGAGATGATTCAAACTCCGCTACAGTCCATCTAAATCAATATTTTACCTGAACCCAAAGAGGACGAAGAAAAGTCTTATCTCTTAGGCAGACAGCACTGGACCTGGATCAATTTCCTTTAAAAACATCCGTTTCTACTGCCTGCAATCATTTCCTTATGTAACTACACCTCTGGGCTTTGTTACACTAAAAGAAGGCTTCCTAGTGAACTTATTTTTTCAAAGAAACAATGATTTGTTTCACATGACTCATGACCGCTCCGTTTTATTCCAACATTAATTTGCTGCATTTCCTTCCTTAAGTTTTCATAATTTCTACCTTCCCTGATTGTCTGTCCTGTGACCTTTGTGTACGTGAAGTATTCGGTGTGAATCACGACTTGTTTTGATAACAAAATAATATTTTTTTTAAACCACTTCCCCTGAACTGAGAGGACAGAGTGGGTGGAAGGACAGGGTCATAACAGAGAGTGTGTGGGTTGTATGTGCAATACAGGAAAGAAACAATGCATGTAAATGATGTAGAATAACTGTGTGGAGATGACACTTAACAAAAGATTTAATAAAGGACAAACTGACAGTGAGACCTGGCTCCATTTTCTCAGGAGACTTAGAGTGTTTGGTGTTCGTAAAAACATTATGTTCATTTTTTATAGAGCAACAATAGAGTCCATTTTACGGTATGGCATCACCAGCTGGTTTGGTGTTCTAACAGTAAAATATAAAGCTCAGATCCTCAGCCTGGTTAAGACAGCAGGCAAGATCATGGGAATGTGTGCCCCTCTTACCCCCCAGGATCTTTTTGAGCAGGCCACAATAACACAGGCCAACAGCATCTTATCGGACACTTCCCATGTATTGCATTCCGAATATGTTTTGCTTAACTCAGGGAGAAGTTACAGGGTTCCTCTGTGCAAACCAAGGGGCAACCTCCGGTCTCGAAAAATGAAGCCAATACGGAAGTACAAAAAACTGCAGTTCCTCGAGGTTCCGCTTGAGGTTGGCTGCAGAAGCGCCGGAAGTGCCATAAGCCCACAGCCAAAAAAGCCCGTTTTTATCACAGGAATCAACATGTTTACAGCCTGGTTCAAAAAACGAGATATATCTGAGAAGTTGACAGCCCCTTCTACTCACACTGTGGGGGGGGGGGGTGATTTTTTTATAACTCATCGGATTTTATTCTATTAAGGAAAACGGCTAGGGTTGTGTCAGATTTGATTGACAGCTCTGCACGCTGCATCTGTCTGTGAGGTCAGCAGGTCAGGAGGCTAACAGCTTGATCCGTCTGATTTCTCCTCTTTCTTACTTCGTTTGGAGAGTTTGTTTAACACAGATCTGACAACATACATGGCTTGCTGTGCGGTTAACAGACCATCCAACAAGTTGATGCTTCAGTTTTCTTCGGTAAGTGATATAGTAGTGTTATATTTACTGCATACTCATGTGTCGGTATTTATATTTACTGCATACTCACTAAACCAGTCGGCTAACTGTGCTCAGTGTAGCTCATTATTTACGGTCAATGGTTTAGAAATGTTTGTTAAGATGTTGTTGTTGAAAATAATGAGTTTGTGTGATGTTAGAAGCTAAAGGTTCACCTCGGTGGTTATCTGACGTTATGATGAATGTTATACTCCACCTAAATGTGGACATTAAAAAACAAACTTTGTGTAGTAATTATCCGTCAGTAACATAAACTGAACTCAACTGAACCTAATGTGCTGTGTAGGTTATAGAGGATGACATTAATGTTACATGGTTGATGTAGTGTCTTAAGATTTATGCAAACTGTTACCAAATTAAAAAAAATGCACTTTGTAAGAGCATCTGTAACCATTAAGAACTATATTAATAACCATATTAATTTTCACTGAACTCATACACAGAATATAGCTGTAGAAATATAAATAACATATGAAATATGTATGAAAATAAGATTTAAAGCACATAGATATAAAGTATAAGAAATAGTTTGAAGAATACAGCCATGTACTGAGCTCATGTTAATAATAAATGAGCTACTGTATGTTCTGTACTAAAGCACAGAGAGTTGGGACCTGTTAATGATTTAAATAATTCAGATTATATTTGTTTCATGTTAAGATGAAGTACTATCCATAATAAACTGCTTAATTTTTCCTCATCCCAAAATCTGAGACAATTTGATGTGGAATATCATTGTGCAAGTGAGAGAGAGAGCTGAAAATAGCATGATTACAATAAGGTTTATCTTCTTAACTTTAAATAGATGTTGATTACCTGAATACTGTACCTTTGTTGTCTGGGTAGTACACTGTTGAATTTATAAATGTGCTCTTACACACAGATGAATACAGAAAAATAGATGAGAACAAAAAAATGATTTAATGAATAACTGATATTTTCTCTCTTTCTTTTCCATCCTGAAGACCGCTCACTAAAAGTCCATGTCCTCCTGGATCCATGTCACATGCTCGAGCTTCTTCTG